CTCATACCTAAAATCCTACATCTTTGGCAATATTTACTTTTTTTATATATTCAGGTAAAATGCTTCTGACAGTTTAGTTTAAGCAGAAGGCTGCAATTTCCACAAGGGACATTTTTTTTGGCAATTTCTCACTAGCAGATGTAGCAGTCAATCCTCATCTCTCCATATTAAAGTATCTAGGCTACTATGGCCATTAGTAGCAGATACATTTTCCATCTATTTTTACTATCAAAGATCCTACAATCATTTTATCAACAGCATGGCCTTAATTAACTCTAAAAGGAACAAGTACATATGCAAAATGTTTTATAACACTTTGTAAGAAAATATTACAAATTTGGTGGAAAGGAGCAAACTGAGGATTGGGTTATGTTCCACTCCATAGGCTTTGGCTAAGAGTACAAATTTCATCTAATTTTGCTCAAACTCAACAGTGGATTTGTTTCTGCAATCCTTTCTAGCCATGTACAAGATGTAATGCTATTTGGCTATTTTGTGCATACTGCAAAGACCCTATGCTGAAAAGAATCAATGGTAAAACTTCACTCTATATGTAAAACCTTTTAAATATAAAATGGCCTGTTATAGGCCCAGGGTCTTTTGATGTGGCACTAGTTTTGTCTTATGCTATCTCTAGATTTTGATGATTTGCGATTCTAATCAGAACAAAATATTCTAATTAGAATCAATCTAATTAGAAAGTATGCAACTTTCAAATAAATGTTATTCTATTACTACCAACAAGGACCAGAAATATTTGTCCTTATGCAGTATGTTACATTAGCTGAGGCACTAAAAATATTCCATAATGAGATGATGGATATATCATTATATTCCTTAATGAGATGATAGAAGTTATACTGTGTAGATTTGTAGCCACTTAGAAGTCTTATGGATATCTTAGTACCAGTGGCCACTATCCTGATGATCCCAATCTGTAATGTCTGGTATAATTTGGATTTAGACGAAAGTCTAAATGCTGGGGATTGAGTTTAAGATTTCCTGCAAGCAAATACACATTCTTACTATATGTTGTACTTTTAGTCATTTGTTATATCCCTGCATCATTCATTCATCTACTGTTCTTGGTTTGGTCCACCTTTTCTATTATTTGAAATAAGTTTCTAACTCTGTTTAACAATCAGAAAACATATACATTAACAAGAACTTTAAAAACACACTTTTTAAAGATAGTTGAAATCAAGCTATAGACATATGCAGTCTGAATATGCTTGAGGATACAATAAATCCTTATCATATCTATCTCACTGTTTGGTTTTATTACTGTATCCTTAAGGCTGTGCTTTCTGTTATCAGCAGGAATAATTCTCCAGTTCTCAAGACACAATGTGGCCAAAGACATTAACATTCTCATCATACCTGGATTTATCTGACTGTGGAAAAGTACATTACCATTCAGTTATTGCTAAATGTAGCTTTAGAGTGTTTTCCCCCTCTTTTTCTCTAAGCATAACATTAACCTTTTGAATTTTAATTTGCTATATATTACAATCACTTATATGGTAAAACAAATGGAGCATACAGCAGATATATGCTAATTACATTTTATATGATGCAAGAATAGGAAGAGGTACACCCTAAAGTTTAGGTTTCAACTCAATCAATGCTAGGCAGCAGGACCAATGACAAGACAATTTTAATCTAAAATGTATGGAGGCCATCAAACTGCCTACTCCAGAAATTCTGCTCTCATCTCAAATGTTCAAAGACCTCAAATTAAGACTAAAATTCTAAGAATATTTATTTAAGGAAATTCTGCTTAATTGTATGAAATCACTCCTGAGTAAATAAAAAATGAGACTTGGACTGAATATATTTAAGGTTTGTAGTTTTAAAGAAAACTATAATTGTTTTAATAGAAAGTTTACTAAGTAGGATCATGAGAATTCACCAATTTGATATTTAAGTAACTCCCTGTTTCTTAAACTCATTGAAAGCCAAACTAACTTTCAAATCATTATTTTTTTTATCTAACCCCCATTGAGGTCTATTATATTAATAAAACATATAATACTTGTTCATCAACCGTTCCCTTTCATAGCCCTACTTGGGAGAATAGCTACCAATTTTTTTGGTTTGGTATAAGTTTCTGAAAGTAGTAAGCCACAGGGGGATTTCAAGTGCTCTGAAAGGAATTTCTACTGTCAAACATCTGTACTGAAACCAGAGGATGAGATATGTACGAAAATAGCTTTCAGTCTCTTTTAATGAAGTATATTACTAATATTTCAAAACTGAGTTGACCGACCAGAAAACTCTGCACCCCTTGGGTAAAAAAAAAAACAAGTATCCTATCCTTAAGCTTAAAAAGTATTATAATGGAAACATCAGGAAATATGTGATCTGCAATGAGCAATAATTCTAAATACTTTACTTAGATGTAGCATTCAATAGATACCTACTAGACCAACTCAAAAATCCCAAATATGTATGAACTTTTAGGTTCTCCACAATTGATTTGATCAGGTGAGATATTACAAAAAATAGGATGAGAAGACAGAGGCTTACTTGATGTTAATACTGGCTCCCAATAATTTTGGATTTTTTTTCATGCTCAAGGTACTTTTTAAAAAGTTTCTATGGGGAAGAAAACAAGCATTCATAACATATACCTTATGGCAGCAGTTCTATAAAGTACCACAGAAATCACTAGTGCTTATATCTAGTAATTCTTGAAACTGTTACCCCAAAATGAGATTATATTAGCAGGAATAATAAACAATAGCTCCATTGCAATCTGCATTGCTTAGATTGCCACCTTGACTATTATGTTATTTACTAGACAGTGTATTGTAAGAACAAATGAGAAATTGGAAGAGGTGCAAGGAAAACTCTCCTTAGGAGAGACTCGGTAGTTTAATATTGACCAAAGAAGAGGGGGAATATAAGAGCATTTTTAAAAGACCCACAGAGCATCACACCGAAGTTAAGACTCATTCCCCATCATTTCAGAGTGTAGGACATGGAATAATAGTCCTAAAGGAATTCAGTGTTCATTTGAATATTAAGAAAAATTCCCAATTGTAAACAGTTCAATGGAGAAACTGATTTTTAGAGAGCTCATCCACTAGATATCTTCAAGTAGAGGAGGAATAGCAATCTATTTGGGTCGATTTAATTTGGGTTCCAGCATTAAACAGCCTGTTGGCCTTAATGACTCTTTTTAATGTTATAATTCTATGAATAAATTAAACTTTGAATCCTGTAAAGCATTTGAAATACGAATATCTATATATATTGCATGATTTAGCAGAATCCAGCACAAGTTAGGACTCAGTTCCAATATCAGATACCAGACCTTAATAGTAAAAATACTTTGCCTCAGTTGTTACTGCTTTAGACAATTATTTGTCCACAATAACTTATAACCTACTATGATAACACAGATTTCCACAATATATAAAAACCCATAAAACTGTTCTTTTTTTAAAAATTGGCAACTGTATTAAAAGATATTGAAATGAATAAACGTCTGTCTGGGATTTAAAATTACAATTAGAGATTTTGTTTTTCAGATACATTAACAATTTCTTTCATTGCTGGTTGAAAATACATCATTTTGGAGGAAAACAGGAAAAAAAGGTGCACACACAAATGCTCTCTCATACAAAAGCACACTAATACCTGTGAACCTGAATAATATAAAAAAAAAAACCCTGAAATCCATGGCAACTAAAGTGAAAAGTCTCAAATGGATTTTTAAAAAAGAGGAAAATAATTCTATTAATAATAGGCCCTTTTGTTCTCTCTTGTTCACTGAAATAATTACTGAAAGGAAACTGTTAACTAGAGGTTTTGGGGGGCAGGGAGTAAATAAATGGGATTTTGGAACTTCCACAGGTTGGCACGGGCTGCAACAGCTGCTTTGAAGGCACTCTACACACACAGGGGCGCTGTTCACCCTGTGCCACATTTTAGAAACTCTTTGTACTTTACAGATCTAGTTGGTTATTGCCAACCCCCCTCCTCAAATTGAATAAGGCATGTTATTACTTTGCCTGCCCTGTCTGTCCCCAGCCATTCCACAAGTACATACAACTTAAAAACTGTGCAAGTCTGTCAGTGTTTTCATAGCTGATTTTTTTTTTTAAAAAAAAAAAAAAACCCAACACAAATAAATGCTCTTCATTCCTTCCCTTTCAATACAATAAGTAAACAAAATAGATTTCACAAGTAATCAGCAGATATTTCTGTGGCACCTCATGCGCTGTATTGGCATCAGTATTATTAAAGTCCCAGGCAGTACTTGTGCAATACTTCTTCAGACGGAGATAAGCATGGTAACAAATATTCCAACTTTGCATAGAAATCCTCAAAATCAAAAATTGCCTAGTCACTAGCTAATTTCAGGCTGACAAGTGTGAAAGATTTGAACTTCCTCCACATGTACTTCCTTCCTTTGATGCTTCCCTTCGTTTCTTATAGGTGTTTCTCTGTGTGTTTAATCTTCCAGTTATAAAGCAATTCTTAACTCTCTCCCTCTGCCCCTGCTGCAAACAACACAGGAACTTTTCCTACTGGTTATCAATGGCCAATACAATCCTCCCAATTGAGGCAAGTACAAGAAATAAGCAACAATCAAACCGCTGGCATGTACATGCGGAAAGCGCCACATTTCCAAAGATAATTTTTTTTTTTGTGTAGTTTTTCTTTTCCTTGGGAGGAATCAGATGTTTAACGAGAGACAACGCGTACTCATGACACCGACAACCACCCGCAGCAGCATGAGTATATATAAACTATAACCTGGAAGGGATCCGGGTGTAAATGCAAAAATTTGTTTCAAAGGCTTGGGAGTTTCACAGGATGACAACACTGCTGCTCCGGCTGCCGCCACCTTTTCGTGTGGTGCTGTTGCTGTAAACCTTTTTTTATTTCAAAATGTTAAAGGAAAGGAAAGGAAATAATAATAATAATAAAAAAAAAACACCACATAAAGCAACGCCGCTGTGCTCTTCTCCGCCACCCTCCTTTTTGTCCCCCCCCCCTCAGAGGATAACACAGGAAGAGCAGCACTGATCGTCCCCGTTGGGTTGGGAAGCGTAGTTCATTTGCCGGACGATCTCGGCAAAGAGCTCATCCACCGAGGCTTTGTTTTTGGCTGAAGTTTCCATAAAGGGGCAGTTCCAGTCTTCCGCCAGCGCTTTGCCTTCCCCGAACGAGACCTCCCGCTCGCCTTCCAGGTCCACCTTGTTGCCCACCAGGATCATGGGCACCTTCTCGTACCTCTTGACCCGAATGATCTGATCCCTCATGGGCTTGATGTCCTGAAAGCTCTGCTGGTTCACCAGGCTGTAGACCAGGATGAAGCCCTGCCCGTTCTTGATATACAAGTCCCGCATGGAGGCGAACTGCTCGGTGCCGGCCGTGTCCAGGATCTCCAGGACCGACGGCGAGGAATCCACCTCGATCTCCTTGCGATAGAAGTCCTCGATGGTAGGGTCGTACTTCTCGATGAAGGAGCCCGTCACAAACTGGACGGTGAGAGCGGATTTGCCCACCCCGCCAGAGCCAAGCACGACCACTTTGTATTCTCGCATGGCTCTTTCACGCACACCCAGGGCGGGCGGGCGGGCTGAGCGCGGCTGGCTTCCTTCGCCGGGCTCCTATTCTTCTCCCCTCCCACCCTCAGAAAGGAAGGGGCGAAAAAAAAAAAAAGAGAGACAGGCGAGAGGAGGGAGGGAGGGAGGGAGCGAAGAAGAAGCCGTCCCCCGACGGAAAGGAGGCTTCCTTTCTTTGCTGGAGATGAGGCGGAGAAAAGCACTCGGGAAGCGGCAGCGACGGTAGGAGCAGAGGCGCCGAGCAAGGGAAGGAGGCGGCTATCGGGGCAAGATACTCTCTCGCTTTTCCCTGCGCCCAGGCAGAATGAAACGAGTCGCGACGGGAGCTTGGAGACGCTCTCGCCCGGCAAGACCTGTGCCTCAACAGCTCGAGGAGGAGGAGGAGGAGCAGGGGGAGGAAGGGAAGCGGTGACGGCGGCGGCTGCTGCTGTTGCTGCTGCTCAGGGTGGCGCGGAGGCGGCGCGCGCTAGTTCCGATTGCGTCCCGGCAGCGAGCAGAGCGCCTCAGCCAGGCGCGCGCCGCTCCAGCCCCGCGTTGTCTGCTTGCGCCGCCGCGAGCCATTCCTTGTTCCCTTGCGCCCAGCCGGGCTGCGGGTCTTGCTGATCACCCGCTTTCCCCCCCCCCCGCCTTCCTCCGCCGACCCCATTAGGCACGAGGACGCACCCCTTTCCCCACCTGAAAGGGAGGCGGAGAAGAGGAGGGAAGAACAGACGCTCCCGCCCCCTAGCCTCCCGCCCTTCAGGTTGGCATTGGCTGCAGTTCAGTGCTCGTCAACCGGCCACGGCTTATTGGGCGAGAGAGGGAGCTTCCTTGTAGATTGGCTGTAGTAGGGGAAAGGGACTGTCGAGAGGGCAGCTGTTTCTTTCTTTCTTTCTCTTTCTGGCTGCCTCCAATGTTTCTCCCGTTTCTCCTCTCTCTCCCCCCCCCCCGTTCTTGTAAAGGCGAGAAGTTTTGGCGGACAATTTAGAAAAGGAGAGGAACCGCGCAGCTGGTTCTTCCAAAAATGTATCCTTGAAAAACAAGTTTCCGGAAGACAAGCTTGAAAGAACCCTTGGAAGATCCAAGGGTGAAACTTATTGCCTACTTACAAAACGCTAAGCTAAAGTCTGACTTTCGGCGTGGCGATAACGCAGGCAGCGAGTTAACGTAGTAAACCACCTTTCAGTTGTTAGATGACATGATGGTGAGCAAGTGAAAGCTGGTGGATTTTATTTTATTTTTTATTTTTTTGTGTCTTTAGTTCACTGTTGCCTGGGTTAGTCCGTGCAGTTTTTTTTGGCAAGGTTATAGAAGTAGTTTGCTCTTGACTATCTCCTAGGGCTGAGAGAAAGTGACTGGCCCAAAGTCATCCAGCTGGCTTTGTGCCTAAGACAGCACCACAACTTGGTCTCCCAGTTTCTAGTGTGGTGCCTTAACGACTACACCAAACTGGTTCTACACTTGATTTAAAAAAAAACCTGAATAAATCTCTACTCAGTCTACTCCCGTCATAAGAAACCTACTGCTTTAGGCCATATTTCAGTGCTCTGTGTCATACATACTCAGATGCATCTAAGAAACTCTTTTGGAGGACATGAAAGTAATAGCGCTGTTCCACGGTTTCTTCACAGTGTCTGGTTTTTAGGATATGCTGCATTTGGAGGCTTTTGCATTCAACAAATATGTTGGTTTTCAATCAATCCCAGCTAAGTATGATATAATTTGACATGTGAAAGACACTAATTGAGGAAGATTGATGTATATATTTACAATCTCTGGATGAACAAAACAGGGTGAGCATCATACAACAGGATGATACTTAGGAATCAATATGATGGGGAGAAATGTAAAAATATATCATTAGACAGAACACACTACTTGAGAATTCTGACAGAATAACATTTCTGTTCTTGTGGCACAATTTATTTAATGGCGTAGTTGAGTAAATGCTGTGTTTCTTTTAAAGAGGGACTTACAAATTATACCATAAGTTAACTTTTTTTCATGCTTGTGAAGCAAACCTGACAATATACTGCATGTTTTGAAATTATGATTTCCAGTTAATCTGGAAATACCTAATACATTGGTGGATATAGAAAACAGAGACCCTTTTGAAAATCCCCAGATGGAATGTCTTTCTGAAACTTTCATTTTAAAATAGCCACATTAAGTAGGGTGAGGAGAACAGGGGAAAAAACAAAACAATCCCAACCATGAGGCTGGAAAATAGCCAGGAATTCCATGAATAGAAAAATAATAAAATATCTTGTTCATTTTCATTACTGAAAGTAGGGAGACGATTAAAAAAGAGCAATGCTTCCTTCACAGGCAGTCCAAGGTTCAGATGAGTGATACTGGCATTTCAGATGGATTACTAAATGCATTGCATCTGCTATGATGTACATCTCCAGGCGTTACAGATCAGGCTGGAGTTAATTAGGATTGTAAAACTCCTTTGGTCAAACTTTATAAGCCATCTTTATACAACAAGGCCTAGATGCACTAAAATTGAATGGTAAGTTGAGGGCAGGAAACATTTTTGTCGAAGCAGTGAGGCATAATGAAATAGTCTACCTTGATGCTTCAACCAGAGACACAATGGTGCAAGAGCTATCATTTCTGTGTTGAAAATGCCATTTTTGTTACAGCAATCAATCTATGAAGCAGTAAAGGTTTAGTTCTTGTAATTATTGTTCTGATAGTTACAGTAATTGTAATGCCTGTACGTACTTAAGTTAACATAATGGTTAAAAAACAATTGCCTTTTATATTACTGTGCTGCAGATTATCTGAAAAGATAGGGAAGTGAGCAGTCACCCAAACTAAGGGCTATTTCTTCAGGTTAAGGAGAAAGTTATACCTTAAAGGGCAGTTCTGAGAAATAAACAATTTAACTGATTCACAATTGTGACTCAGCCATGAACCTTGCTGACATTGCCATGTTATGATAAGCTGTGGTTCATTTGATTTTGTCTTGGCTTGTGTAACATGAGCCATTGTACTTTGAAAAATGCATTTCATATCTCACATATCAATTTAGCCAGTGGTAGTTTCTTTAGCAAGCCAAGAGTTACTGCAATTAGCCCAACACAAATGTATAACTTGAAAGGAATGTTGGATTACAAATTGTAGCTGTACTGTATTTTGAGATTTGAATTAAACTGATATTGCCAAAAAATTGTATTCTTTTTTCTATCATAAAATAAAATAATATGACCATACAGTAACTCTACTCTGTCCAAATATGCACTCTTTCTTCTATGTTTTTTCTTTGTACTTGAATTGCTTGTCATAATAATCTAAACTTAATGACACTTAATAAATCTCCTATCCAAAATGCTGGGCAAAAATATTTTGCATTTTACCTGGAACCCTTACCTAAGAAAATCAATGTTAGTTTTCTACCCCACCTAAATAACTTTCAGTTCCTCAAAATGTATTAATTTAGTACAGAAGTTAATTATCTACAGACTCTGTAACCTTAAATCAATTTAAGAAAAGCTCTTTTCCACTCAACTGCATTCTAACTGGTAAATCATTTCAGTCCAATGTGGGATAACTGCCACATGATATTATTTCAATTTTGTCTTTGTTAATGACAACCAGACTGGCTGTGATTTGAATTATAAGGAACCCTGGCTATTTGCCATAGTCATAGTCAAGCCATTTTATTGTTGCTTGCTTTGTTAATCAGGCATTGCTTTAAAGAGAAAAAAAATGTTGCAATTACCAGCCTTTGCTCTTTCTGTCCAATAGTCTGTTACAAAAGTTTTAATTCTTTAGATTCACAAAATATGCAAATGTAAAACTTCCACTGAATAAACAGTGTTGGCTAAAAAAAAAAAAAAACAATTACCACAAGCTTCATCTCCTTCCCTGTGAGGGATTCTCTTCTTGTACCATTCACATCAACAGGGTGATCAGTGTCTAACTGCTAATGAAGGAAGAATAATGCATTATGTTTGAAAACCACTATTCTGGCAACATTGTATAGGCTTTCTTAGAAAGGCAAGCCTGCTCATTACAACACTCCTCTGCCTTAAAAGCTGAAAATGCACCACAGAGCACCAGCTGATAACTTTAGTTAATGTGCTCTTTTATACAATGAGAGGGAAGTTCCTGGAAATCTTGAATGTGGTTCCCGATGCCTTTAAAAACCATTAAAAAGTCATCTTCAAGTCAAGCTTAGTTTCTTCCTGGTGACTTTGTATAGACATCCTTGTAGATTTTTTGGAAACAGTGTGGAAACAATTTGCAACTGTTTTCTTCTAGTTTCCCCACCCCCATCCCATTTTCTCAGTCCTTGAGGCCTTGGAATTTTCTGATCTTCCATCCAAGGACTCTGCTGAGATAAAAACTATTACCAAATGGGATTTTTTTAATATGACAGAAGAAAATAATTCAATACACCACTAATGAATAATCTCATATTATAGTATTGTATTAAACATAAACACAATTGTTTTTAAATTTTGTTCATAAAATGTAGGATTATGATCAAGAAAAGCCAGGTTCAAGGCCACCTCAGCTATGGCAGTAGGTAACTTTGGGCTGCTTGCACCTTCTCAGCCCAACCTACCTCACAGCATTTTTATTGTGGGGAGAATTAGTCAAGAGATGCTATGTGTACCACCTTGAAGTCTTTGAGGAAATTGGGAATAGAAATTTAAGAACTGGTAGGACTTTGATCACTGAAATACAAAATTATCTCTTCAGAGTAAACACAAAAATGTAAGTTATCTCATCATGTAAAGATCTCATCAATGCTCTGCTTCCCTCTCCCCCCAAAAAACAGAGGTCAAATATTACCAATTCAGATATTTAGCATCTTTGGTGATTATCAGTTTGTCACTGAGCCATCACTGGGCAAGATTACCTTGTGGGGCAACATGAGTATAGATGAACTAACATAAGATGAGCTATTTATTGACAAGTAGAGTTCTTATGAAACAGCATGAGACAGATGCCTCAAGGTAAATGGGTTTAAGCCACAGCAGTTCTGTTAGCCCTGAGACTG